AACATACTTCGACCTCATGCTTAATTATTGTCGAACCAAAAACTACCCTTCGACCATACTAGAGTTCGATCCAATATCTCACAAATCTCCACCTTGGATCTAACTCTATAACATCAAGAAACTAGCTTTTTTCATGCAGCTTTATCAACTGCATACAGTGGAAAAACTTGTAACTGGGCAACGTCTTGGTGATCATATCAGCAACATTATGATCTGTTGAAACCTTCAACACTTGGACTTCTCCATGCTTGATTACCCCTATGAAGAAATGCATCCTCACATTAATGTGCTTGGTTCGCTCATGATAGGCTGAATTTTTCGACAGGTGTATTACACTTTGACTATCACATTTAACAATGATAAATCGACCTTGAAGTTTTAGCTCATTTGCAAAACCTTCAAGCCACAATGCTTCCTTCACAGCTTCAGTTAGAGCAATATATTCCGCTTCTGTGGTTGATAAGGCAACGACCTTCTGAAGTGTTGATTTTCAACTGATTGTTGTCCCAAACATAGTGAACACATATCCAGAAATAATTTTCTGGAATCCATACAACCTGCATAATTAGAGTCGACATATCCTTCGATTGTTGCTTTACTATCTTTGCCCAAGGCTCCACCACAAATAGGACTCTATTCAGAGACCCATTTATATACCTTAAAATCCACTTCAATGCTAGCCAGTGAGCCTTTCCAGGATTCGCCATGTACATGCTTACAAGACTTACTGCATATGTTATGCCAGGCCTAGTACAGACCATAACATACATAAAAGAACCCACTATATTAGCATATGGAATGCTATTCATATAAGTTCTTTCAACATCAGTGTTGGGACATTGATTTATACTCAGCTTGAATTGAGGGTTTGTCGGAGTCACAACAGGCTTTGAATTCGACATACCAAACTTTTTGAGGACCTTCCGTAGGTATGCCTCTTGAGATAAACATAATTTGGTCTACTTTCTATCTCTTCGGATGTCAATCCCAAAAATCCTTATTGAGTTCAGCCTTCACCCTCATTACATCTTCGACATTGTTGCTTGCTATTAAAATATCATCCACACATAGCAACAAAATAACAATGAATTACCCGGTCGAAATCTGAAGTAAACACAGTGGTCGAACTGACTTTTGATGAAACTTATGTGTGTCATAAACTTTTCGAATCTCCTATTCCACCGTCGAGGAGATTGTTTCAGTCCATATAAGGATTTATTCAGCTTGCAAACATAATCTTCCTTCCCTTTTTTGACATACCCTTCAGGTTGCCTCATCAGGATTATTTCATCTAAGTCACCATACAAGAACGCAATCTTCACATCCATCTGTTCCAGTTCAAGGTCAAACTATGCCACTATGGCAAGCAACATTTGAATGGATCTGTGCTTCACAATAAAAGAGAACACATCATTGAAGTCGATACCTTCTTTCTGAGTGAACCCCATAGCAACCAATCTTGCCTTGTATCTCTTTGACACCACTCCTTCGATTCATTCCATAACTTTGAAAATTCATTTACAACTGACTAACCTAGCTCCAACAGGTTTCTTGATCAGTTCTCGGGTGTTGTTATCATGAAGAGATTTCATCTCATCATGTAATGAGGGTGAAGGCTGAACTCAATAATGAGTTCGACATGAAGGATCTGGGAGTTGCGTCCAAGATTCTTGGGATTGACATCCGAAGAGATAGAAAGCAGTCTAAATTATGCTTATCTCAAGAGGCATACTTACGAAAAGTTCTCGAAAAGTTTGGAATGTCGAATTCAAAGTCTGTTGTGATTCCGACAAATCTCAAATTCAAGCTGAGTATAGACCACCGTCCCAACACTGATGTCGAAAGAAGTTATATGAATAATATTCTATATGCTAATATAGTAGGTTCTTTGATGTATGTTATGGTCTGTACTAGACCTGACATAACATATGCAGTAAGTCTTATAAGAAGGTACATGATGAATCCTAGAAAAGTTCACTGAAAAGCATTGAAGTGGATTCTAAGGTACATAAATGGGTCTCTGAATATAATCCTAATTTATGATGGAGCCTTGGGTGATGATAGTAAAGCAGCAATTGAAGGATATTTCGACTTTGATTATGCAGGTTGTATGGATTCTAGAAAATCTATTTCTGAATATGTGTTCACTATGTTTGGGACAACAATCAGTTGGAAAGCAACACTTCAGAAGGTCGTTGCCTTATCAACCACTGAAACAGAGTATATTGCCCTAACTGAAACTGTGAAGGAAGCATTGTGGCTTGAAGATTTTGGAAAGGAGCTAAAACTTCAAGGCCGAGTTATCACTGTTAAATGTGATAGTTAAAGTGCAATACACTTGTCAAAATTCAGCCTATCATGAGCGAACCAAACACATTGATGTGAGGTTGCATTTCTTCAGAGGGGTAATCGAGCATGGAGAAGTCCAAGTGCTGAAGGTTTCGACAGATCATAATGTTGCTGATATGATCACCAAGACGTTGCCCAGTTGCAAGTTTTTTCACTGTATACAGTTGATAAAGCTGCATGAAGAAAGCTAGTTTCTTGATGACATAGAGTCAGATGCAAGGTGAAGATTTGTGAAATGTTGGATCAACTCTAGTATGGTCGAAGGGTAGATTCTGGTTCAGCAAGAATTAAGCATGAGGTTGAAGTCTGTTCGCATGCTACTGTCGAAGTAATGTGTGTTCTGGTCGAAACTTGTTCTAACATGCATCCGTCAATATTGTTAGGGTTGTTAGCATGTTGAATTGGACCTTACTTGTAAGCCCAATTGTTTAAGTTAGCTTGTAATGGGTAATTGTTAAAAAGCCCATTAGGTTAGTGTGCTTGTAATGGGTAATTCTTCCTTATTTACGTTGGATGTTAGTTTTCAATCTTGACATAATGAAAAATAGGAAGATAAAATCCTAATTTCAATAGAGAGAGGTTATTTTGTTATTCTTCTATACTTGTAATCTTGTTCTAAGAGTAAGGAAAGAATAATAATTTATAACCAATTCTTGTTGTTCCTTGTTGTTTTACATTGTCTTTTTTGTTAACCCTAACCCTTGTATGTTTCTTGAGCAAGAAGAAACTGTTTATACTTTGTTATAAAGTATCTGATTCATAACAGAAAGGAACATGTTAAAGTAGAATTTATTGTAAGCTTTCTTTATATGTATAATTTCTCATAGTCTTCTATCTTGCGTAGCGTGTTCTTGATGCCCTTTTCCCCTCAGTACTTGGTGGGACTTGTGCCATACCCAAAGCTTTCGGTTGTGGAAAAACATTCATTAGTCAAGCTCTTTCTAAAGTGATCCTAACACACCATGTCAAGGCACAATGGTGATATGTAATTATAAAATTTTTCAATAATTCAGCAGACCTCTTAATTCTTCCCTTTTCACCTCTTTGACAGTATTCAAATTCTAATGATGTTATTTACGTTGGTTGTGTAGAACGTGGAAATTAAATGGTCGAGGTATGCTTCCATTTAAGTTATAATGAGATAGTTTAACATGTGTGCTGCATGTGAGTTTTAATACTTTTTCCAAACTATATATTATATTCTAACTATTTTGTTTTCAAACCTCAGTAATCACTTTAGCTGTGTATTTCAGAGATATGGGTTACAATGTCGGTATGATGGCAGATTCAACATCTAGATGGGGAAAAGCATTGCGAGAAGTCTCAGGATGATTGTTGAGAATTTCAATTATCCAGCGTCGGTTGTTCACCGGTTTCTTTTAGAAATAATTTGTTTCTTCTACATGGTGATTTAGTTTCTGATGCTAAAGTTTCTTTCTCCACTGGTGTTAAATATATAGATTTATACATAAATGACTAATGAGACACATGAGGGAACATTGGCATTCATCATTGTAAATTGATGATATTGTTGTTTTCCACAGCCCGAAATGCCTGCTGATAGTGGATATCCCTCTTACCTTGCTGCATGTTTAGCTTCTTTCTATGAACGTGCTGGGAGCTCTTGGAAGAACAGGCAGCGTAACAAAGTGACAATAAAAATTCAGTTCTTATTCAGTTTAATTGTGGGCAATGAATTATGATCAAGTATTTAACATTGTCACACCATCTATTGCAATAACATAAACATAAACAGCGAGGCCTTCCCAAGAGTCTGTGACTGATAAAGCAGTGAGCAGCATGCATAACAAGACATTTTACAACACATGTGTTCATCATTAATAATGGTAAATTGTAACCATTCAGCTTTTATGCAATGCCTCTCACATTAGTGCCTACAGCCTAACATCAGTACCGGTAGTTGATCTTATCGTGTTATTTTATAGTCAAACAACAATAGAATCGAAATTAGAGATTGATCCCTAAAATCATATGATAGGTCAGAATTTTCAACTCAATGGATTATCTATTTTAATCATACGTATATTTAATCGTTATTTCTAAATTGTCTGATCAACTCAAAAAACTCTTTTATTTTAATCGATTCTAATTTAAGTTAGTTAAGTCATGAGTACTTGTGGAATGACTCGAGTGTCGTTGCCCTCCACTGCGTTTTAGTAACTTGTATTTGACCTGTGTGCATCAGGCACCAATTATTACATTATAATCTCATATAAAGCACTAAGAGCATCCACAATAGAGCATTATTTGCTTAAATGAGTCTAGCAGATACAGATCAGTTTTTTCTTTAAGTAATGTATTTAATAGACCCTTAATCACTTAAATCCAACACCTCTACTAAACAGGCCCACTGACAATTTTACATCGTTAAAGAAACAAATTCACTAAAGAAATGTGTCATCAGGGCTTAAGCCATCATGCAATGAGAGAGGATTAAGTGTGCCATAAATAACAAAAGCTACATTATTCAGGGCTTAAGCCCTCATGCAATAAAAGAGTATTAATTGTGCCATAAATTATAAGCAAATATAGTCTATAATTCAACACAATATCAACTGGTTCCTTCACCTTTTCTTCAACTTCAAAGTTTATATATGTTGATAGGTCATTGCTAGTGCTGCCCCTGCTTCTCATTTGAATTTAAGGCTCTTTGAAATATGTTGATAGTACTGCCTTTGCTGCTAAAAAGAACCAATATGAATTTCGAACACTAGTTTATCAAAAGAAAAAGGAAAGTGTGCTTGAAATTTAGCAGATGAACCATACCGGGGCTGATACAGAGGGAGAGATTTTTATCAGTGCTGCCTCAAAATGACATGTCTTGATGGTGCCACTAGTTTCCTCAGTTGAGTCCCACTTCTCAATGAGAGCAGCCATCCCTGCTACTTCCAGCTGAAAGGACATAAAAATCAGCAAATCCACCAAAATGACTTTTTTTTTTTATATATAATCAAACACGCACATTGGACACATTAAGCAAACACTAAAATCAAGCAAATATGAAATCCAAATAACCCTAAAAAAATAAAATAAAGAGAGCAGTGACACACCAATTCAGCAAGATCAGCACCACTAAAGTTTTCACAACCTTCCATTCTTCCGATGACATTCAAATCCACACTGGCGTCAATAATAAAATCCTTTGCAAGAGTTTTCAATATTTTTACACGCTCGTCTGGGCTTGGAAGAGGAACATAAAGATGTTTACCAAATCTACCAGGTCGTAAGATAGCATGGTCTATAACATCAAACCTACAAAATGAGAAATTGAGTGAATAGAACATAATGTGAAGTAAATCCAGTGTTGTCGCTCGTAGTTTGCCAAAAAAAACTGTTTATTTAAATTCTGCTACACTACAGTGCTGTAGCGCTGCCATAGCCATACTTTGTACTAAATTATGCATCTCAGACACAATAGTAGTTTGTTTAAATTCCACTATACTATAGTTTTATAGTGCACCACTATATCCGCTATATGACAACATTTAAAATAATTAATTAGAAAACAGAGATGATGAACCAGAGGTACCTATTTGTTGCACCAATCACAAAAACACCCTTACGGTTCTCTGCACCATCTAACTCAATAAGCAACTGCAATGTAACAGTTTAAAAGAGTAAAAAGTCAATATGAAAATTTCTTTCAAACCAAAAAGTAGAATATGTTTTACCTGGTTCAAAACTCCTTCAATATTCTGACCACCTTCTTTACCACGCTCCTTTGTCAATGCATCAAGCTGAAAAACAGAAAAAAAAAATAGCTAGTCATACAATTCTAACAAACTTGACTTGCTCAGAATTCACATATGCCCTTCATATAGACTGAATATATTAATAACAGATAAGGTAACCATACGTGCCTCGTACATGCTTACTGAGCAAGCATAAAAACTACTTTTCCAAAAATGTACATTCATATAAGCCCTTCATAGATTGATGATGTTAATGAAAAATAACATGTCTCATGTACATGCTTCTTAGCAAACAAAACAAAAAATTCAAAAATGCACATTGATCATAGCAAGTGTACGAGTCGATGGAGGTTTACTAAAGCATGCAAAAAACAACAAAAATACTGTGATGGCAATACATGATAGTATCATGTATTATGATAGAGTTAACCAACATTCTTTGAGGAGAGAGATCCACAAACCTCGTCAAAAAAAATTATACAAGGTGCACATGTCCTTGCACGACTAAATATTTTTCGGACGTCATGCTCACTTGTTCCAACAAATTTATTTAGAAGCTCAGGTCCCTAAAATTCATCAAAGCTGTTAGAATATAATAAATAATTTATTTTAATATCTTCATATTATATAAAGTAATGAGAAAACCAAAACTAATGAGAAAAAAGCTGGAAAATTTTATCAGACCTTAACATGAATAAAATTAGCTCCTGCTTTGTTGGCAACAGCTTTGGCAATTAGTGTTTTTCCACAACCTGGAGGCCCAAACAGTAAAAATCCTGTTTCAAGATTCCTTGTGAACCCCTGAAATAAATATTTTCAGTAACACTGACAAATGATCTTGTGATTGTAATACAACTGTAGATACTTAGGACTTGACACAAAGTTGAGCTTATTATGTCAACAGATTTAGACCAATTTTGACAACTAGTTTGAGTGATGATTTTGAAAAGGAAAATGGGTAATACAAAAGTGATAAGAGACAAAGGGTTTTTGTGTCAGCAACATGGATTCCAAGTGTGGAAGGTATATGTGAGAAAAATTAGAAAGTATGGATAGGGACAACTGCTGATGTGGTAATAGGGTCAGTGTAAGGGGATGGTTTGAGTTGAATTTCTGTTATAATTAATGGGTATGCAGAAGTTTATTTTGCAGTTTGTTAGGCAGAGATTGCAATTTCTCTAAGGAGCACAACTCCACGGTAGACAGGGAGTGTTTCCCATCTGCATTTGCAACCTTTGAATTCAATAAAATCAGCATCTTACTATTTTTCAGTGTGTTTGATAACAGTGAATGGCACAAAGCATAAAGAATATAGTAGCTTCAGTAGATTTTGGGATGTAGGTGAACCATTTCTCTTGACGTTATAATAAGTTAGGGGGTTTCATGTCATAAGGTGAACACAAGGGGTGTGTGACATTTAATCAGAATTTAAGGGAAGACTGGGAAGTTAATATAATTTTCCCTTTATATTGTGCTTCTAAACTTGTTGTGATAGAGATTCAGATATGGGTCATAAGGAAAAGGGGCAGGTATGTATTAAGGAGTGTAGTAACTAGTAAGGGTATATGGTAAATAAAGAGTAACGTAGTGCTTAGTTGGCAAGTTTATTATGCCCAGCTTAGTAGTATATATAGTGAGGTAAGTGAGTTGTGGGGATTATCCAAAAATATTGAGTATGAACCATTAGGCTTAAGCATAGAGAGATATTTCTCTATCTCTAAGGAGCTTAGCTCTGGGTAGATTGGGGTTCATTCCCTTCTACATTTTATCTTTCTTGATCAATTAAATATGTTCTTGAATTTGGGAGTTCCATCAAGTTGATCCATGAGTTTTTGTCACTTAACAAAAATTGTTTAATATTAAAAATTACCTTAAAATCCTCGGGATGCTTTATACGTCTTATAATGTAGTGATCAAACTCTTGTCTTACATGATCAAGTGCACCAACATCTTCCCATTTAACATCAGGAATGGGAGCAAATCCTTCTCTTGTTAACGAAGGTTGCACCTTTTTGGATGCTTCCTGTGTAACACAAATAAATAACCAATTATGGCAAAAATAGGCAAAGATAGGATGATATTTTTGCATATTATAAAATTAGATAGAAAATCAAAGACTAGTACAAATCTAATACAACCAATTTGAATAACATTTATAGAGGAAGAGAGAAGTATAGGATAACTCACAAACACATGATAATTTAACAAACCCAAAAAAAGCTAACAGGAATATAAAAAAATCAATTAAAAGGTAAACAAATCCAAAGCACCTCAAAATCAGACATGGTGATTGCACATTTCTCTAAATCATCTTGAGGCAATGGTTCCTTCCACCAATCTTCATCCTGCTCACTTGATAATTTGTGCTTTGTTTCATTACGTAACCTATCCATTGCTACAATGCAGGCTTCATTGGCTAGAGCTTCCAGATCAGCAGCAACAAATCCTGGCGTAGACATGGCTATTTTTTGCAAATCAACCGAATTATCATGTTTTTGATGACGAGTAACCACGGTAAGAATCTCCTCCCTAGAAGATTGATCAGGAATAGGAACAAGAATCTCACGATCAAAACGACCCGGTCTTCTCAGTGCAGATTCAATAGCACCGGGCTTATTTGTTGCTCCAATTACAAGAACATGGCCTCGAGGTTTGTCAGAAGTCTCTAAATGATGATCATTAGCTTCATCCATACATATCATTAACTGTGTGACAATTCGTGTCTCCATTTGACGCTGTAAATTCTCTCTTTTTGAAGCAATTGCATCAATCTCGTCAATAAAGATAACAGACGGGGCAGTCCTTTTAGCTGTTGAAAAAAGCTCTCTAATACTTTCTTCAGATGAACCTGAGATTCCAGAAACAAATTGAGTAGCAGAAGTTGAATAGAAATTGTAACCGGTCTCATTAGCTATAGCATGAGCTAATCTAGTCTTGCCACAACCAGGTAGTCCATGCAACAAAACACCACCGATTGGTTTCCCTCCCAGTTTAGACATATTAGGATTAAACATTGGCCATAAAATCTTATTTTTCAATTCCTCAATTACATTTTTCATCCCACCTAAATCCTTAAACATGGGCTCTTTCTTTCTCACTTTCTCTCCATCGGAAGCCAAAACAGAAGAATTACACGAGGACTCTTTCTTTCTCACTTTCTCTCCATCGGAAGCCAAAACAGAAGAATTACACGAGGACTCTTTCTTTCTCACTTTCTCTCCATCGGAAGCCAAAACAGAAGAATCACACGAGGACTCTTTCTTTCTCACTTTCTCTCCATCGGAAGCCAAAACAGAAGAATCACACGAGGTTGGAGTTGTTGTCATCTGCAAAATTTCTTCCTTTTCTTGTTCTACGTCCATTTTCTTACTTTTCTTTCCATCGCTTTCACCATTATCACTGTCGTTGTTATGAGTAGTATTAAGAGCCTTACGAACTAATCGAATCAGTGTTTCAGGCTTTGTTCGGTGATAATCAGAGTAAGTTGAGCGGAGATACTTGACTATATTTTCGGGAGTGGATGAGTATTTTGCTTTGCAAGATTCGACTCGACGGCGAAGAGTTTGTTGGAGAAAACCTCCTTCTATGTTTTTTCTTTTCATCTCTCTGGAATATCTAACGTAAAAAAGCTCTGGCTCCGACCGTTGTATATTGGCGGTAGAGGTTTATTGGTTTTTATAATTAGGTCAGGCCTTCTAGCGTTTTTTTTTTAATTTAAAGGATGTATTGGATAAAAATATAACTAACCCTAGTGGTTAAGTCTAGGATTAGGGTTCAATTACTCATCTGTAAAACCTCAAACAATAACCAATAGATTAAAGAGATGGTTAAATTTAATATAATTAAAATGAGAACATTAAAATCAATTACAGCTAATTCTTTTTAAAAAAATATTACTAACATTCTTATCGTTAGAAATTTTTTTAGATAAGAATTTGTTTCATTCTAATTCACAACCTCATCATCTTTGTTATTTTTCATGGTAATTAAAAAAAACTCTTTGTCTCAAAAGCTCCAAAAAGCTGCATCCTGCAACAAAGATAGAGGGGTTTGACAGTGTTTTCTGTGGCTAGATTTAGTCAATAAATCAACTTGTAGTTGGTTCTTACATTTTCCTTCTGTGCATGCTGTTTGCTTAGCAACAGTTATGCAAAGTTGGTTCTTACATTTTCCTTCTGTGCATGCTGTTTGCTTAGCAACAGTTATGTAAAGTTGGTTCTTACATTTTCCTTCTGTGCATGCTGTTTGCTTAGCAACAGTTATGCAGTGATTTGATTCTGCTGATATTAATTTTGAAAGTAGACTAGCCTTAAAAGACATCCGCGATCAGCTTCAGATTTAATTCCTATGATTTGTCATTCCATTAGTCTTAGGGGCTAGGGTGCATCACGCTGAATTTTCTTATAAGTTAAGATATTCTTTTTATTATGAGTTTGTATTTTTTTATCATATTAATGAAATTTTCATTTCCCTTTGCAGCCTAGTCATTCTATTCGGACATTTACAGGGCATACAAGAACTGTGATGTCAACTAGACTTTCACCCAAACAAAAATGACCTTATTTGCTCTTGTGATAAAAGGGAGATAAGATATTGGAGTATTGAAAATGGCTGTTGTGTTGGGATTTTCGAGGTAGGAAATCTCAAACAGATACTATGAAGCAAATTCCAACGTACTTGTATATTGTTTGTAAATAAATTAAAATTTTCCATTACTTTATCAGGGCGGCGCAACTCAGGTGAGGTTTCAACCTGGTTTGGGAAAGCTTCTTGCAGCAGCAGTAAATAATCTAATACTCATTCTTGACGCAAAAAATCCGAGTTGCAGAATTAAATTGCAGGTAAGCTTTGAATTTAGTGTTTGCGTATGTCTGTTTGTGAATATGCTTAAGTTTTAATTGACCTCAAACAACGCTGTAGTTTTCTTATTGGTAACAATAGACTAACAACATTTGATTATTTTGTCATTCCCAAAAAAAATAAGTTTATCTCAGTTGTTTTCTGTCTTAGCTCTAAACTACATCGAAGTGTTATCCATCAATGCCATCTTTCTCTATCTCTTCCTATCTTTTTCATCCTCTGCAATTGAGCTCTAAACGATCCATTATATATCAATTTTAGGGCCACAATAGCATTGTTCATTCGGTGTGTTGGGACTGGTCTGGAAAATATCTGGCATCTGTTAGTGATGATCTCGTGAGAATATGGGAAGTTGGAGCCAATGGCAGTGGGTTGTGTATTCATGAACTGAATACAGCTGGGTCTGATGACAAATTCCAGAGCTGTGTTTTTCATCCCATTTATCATGTTCTGGTCCTTGGCCGCGACGTGGTAAGTTGTCTGTTGTCATACTATTATTACTATATATCAAAGAATATTACATTCTATTAAGACTTTGGACCAATACATCATTCATTATCTTTCTTTTTAATTCAGACTCTTATGCTGTGGGATTATATAGCGAGAAATGTAATGTTTCTGCGCGGACACGACAAGCTTGTATCTGCCTTGGCAGTATCCAATTTTACTGGGTTGGTGGCTTCAGTTAGTCATGACAATTATTTCAAAATATGGAAGTGACTTGCACATGCTGTTGATATAGGTTTACATTCCTTTCACAGGTCTTTTGTATATGCCTTTATGTTATCTCTTTTAATATTACAAGGGCAGCGGGCACTTCATAAATGATTCATATCGTTCCTTATTGCCTATTTTTCAACTTGGGTTATCTTAGCTATGATCATGGCTATTGAATATTACATCTCCCAATTGTTGTAGTTCCTTGCCTAGTTGTTTTATATCTACACGCTATAGGGTAACATTTAACAAATTTATTATTGATTTGTATGGTTTCTTATATGGATTTGGCCTGACATAGCTTGTATTTTCCAGCTCAATACGGATTGGTTTCCGAACTTGTGGAAAACCATGGTTCACGTGAAATCTCGTCCTCATACTGTAGATCATGATTGTTGTACTAAGGATATGAGTGATCTGCTTGCCAACTCCAATATACTAGGGCATTCCTTTTGTGGAAAAAGTTTCAAAGAGGTACCTGTTGCATGTTCTTTTTATTTTGACTTAGGTTATGGAATGTATATACTTTAGAGTTCTATAGATATTCTCTCTACAAATTATGTATTTAATATTTGGTTAACTGAGTTCACACAAAAAGCAGCAAAACCGAAGTGAACTATTGTAGAACTGAGGCTTGATTGAATTTCTTTCTTTATGCTTTTCAGCTTTTTGAGCAGTTGTAGAACTCGTACAACACTTAGGAGATGATGGGGTAGCAGCACTGGCAACCTGATGCAACAAGTTGACCATGTCCAATTATTACAATAGAATGGCAAACACCGAGTTGAATATTTATGCTAATGTATAGTTTCATGTCTTCAAAACTCTGCAAGGATATCGGAAGCAACTTTCTACTAGTTAAGGAAGAGTATTTGACACACTCTGCATATTGGAAGCAACATCATGCACTAGTGGAGGAATCACATTTTACACAAGTTTGACGGCAATTGCAAAAATTCTAAGACAAGCAGAATTAGATGATTAGGATCATAGAATAATAGGAAATTTGTAAATTAGTTATAAGACATGATGAATCATACATCTATTGTACTATCATTTTTTTTATCGGTGTAACATTTTCTGCATTTTCATTTTGTTATCAATGTAACATTTCCTGCACTGTTTGTTTGTAACTTTTTTTTAACATAATGCAATAAAGTCATTTATTTCATTAAAATTTTCAATCATGCTTAATTCTTGGTTTATCGATTGTTGAGAGTTCGTCATTATTTTCTTGGTTCGGGGATCGATTATCTCTCTGGAGAGAGTTTTCAAGTTATTGTTTGATTTGAATACATCTTTCTAATTGAAGATGGAGGCTTAGAGAAGTTTTTCCTTTACGACATTGTCTTGTGATTCAAGATTGTGGTTTGTTAAGGGGGTAATTTTGGTTCGGCATTGTGAATTTTGTGATTAATCTTTTAAGGTTTGGAATAGTTTTGTGTTTAGGTGATTAGATTAGGGGGAAATGTGGAGGTGAGAATTGGAGTCAGTTGTTTAGTTTAGAATTCAGCCTATAACAGTGCTGTTCTAGGAGTGGGGTTGGTGAAGGTTGGTTCTGCTTTTTGTGTGTTGGTTCTGATCATGTTCAGTGTTCATTATGGACAAAAGTGAACCTGCTTTAACTCCACAATGGTTGAGAAGTTCAGGAAGTGTTCCCAGTTCAGCCCACCATTTTGCATCTTCATCTAATCACACTGATACTCAAACTGTAGCTTATCACTCAAGGAATAGGTCTTCTAAGACAACTAGTGATTTTGATAGTCCTCGTTCTGTGTTTCTTAAACGGACATTTTCGTCAAATTCTCGGAGGGGCTACCAATGGCTCTGCAAAAAATGCCTATAGTAGTTTCAACAGAAATCATTGTGATAAAGACCGCAATAGAGATAAAGATAGATCCAACGGTTTAGACCACTGGGATCGTAAATGTTCTGAACCATTGGCTGACCTCTTCTCAGTAAGGACAGAGAGGGATCCTCTGCGGCGCTCTCATTCATTGGTCTCTAGGAAACAGAACGAGCTTGCTAACCACAGAGGGGCTGTAGATACTAAATCTGGTGGCAACTTCAACCAGAGCAATGGCAGTGATGCACTTTCTGGTGGTAGTATCAGTAGCAGTTATCACAAAGCTGTTTTCGATAAATATTTTCCATCAGTCGGTGGAGATGAAAGACCTGGGTCAGCCGAGGCACATTTTCTGGGCAAGTTCAAGGCAAATTCACGAGGAAACGAGGAAGAGCATAAACGGTTTGATTCTAATTCCTTCAAATCTCAAACAATTTTGATGAAATTAAAGTCAAAACCACTTGATTTTTCATGAGAAAGAGCATGGTATCAACCATAATTTAAAATGATGCACACAGTTCAAGACACGATTGGTCATGCAAGATAAAGCTTGAGATGCATTTCTTGAGTCAATGGACAAAGTAAATGTAAGCAGGCTGATTTTCAAATGTGCACAAGTGTCAAATATGTACTAGATCAAGTTCCAACAGAAATCTAAATCAAAAGACAATGTGATAGGAATTTGGCACATGAGTTGCTAAAGAACATGATTTGAACAACCAAAACATAATGATCAGACAAAAAAAACTCAGTCGAGCTAATGCACCAAATGCTAGACATTCAAGGATCTCTAAAACAAACTTATTTGATAAAGAAATCAAAATCTGGAGGACTGTCCAGATCATGACAGTAAGTCTTAAAAACAGGAAGGCAAATGACATATTGGCATGTGTAATCCAAACATGATGATAAACAACTTGACTCAAAAGCAGTCTTTCAATCATGACTCACAAGATGCAAGGGAAACATATAGTAAAAGTACCTTTTATGCTTAAAACAGTTGGTGACACACAAGACAAACAGACATGGTTCAACCAAAATAACAACATCAAAACTGAATTGAGCACCCCTATGCATCGTGTTTGAATACCAGGCCAAGGGTTTCCACAGCAACATGTAAATTCAGAGTTCAAACTCAAACTGGTAGCAATCATGACATGGATAGGATCAAACCATCAACTGAGTATTCCGTACAAGAGAACAAACTTGACAGGCTTTAAAAAATAAAACATCATCATACACAGAGATGGCAGTCATGTTCACAAATGAGGCAGTATTGATCATCCCATGCTTTGACAGCATTTGATTGAATCATTTCAATGTAACATGACCACAACAGTCAATCAAAAATACCTATAGCCCACAGACGTTGGCAAATTTGAACCCAAAGAAAAGGCTTGACAGAACCAAAGCATATCAAGTTTCAAAACAGACCTATCCAAAATATGGGAACTGAATACAACAGCCTTTCAAAAACTACAAGACAGTGATAATTGGTCTGTTCCAAACTAAACTCAAACACCAATCACACATTGCTGTCGACATGTTTATCTTCATGTGGAATTCTTACTGAACTTGTATTATGTGATCACAATTTAAATTTCATACACACCTTACCCTTTTCTTTTGTACCTCTTCTATGATATTCTCTAATCGTTTTGCTTCTTTTATCAATAACTTATTATTAGAACATGAAGAATAGACCGTAGATCTCACAAGTCATTTATCTGCAAAGTATTGTTTGTCCAGTTCTTTGCTAACTAGTTTTATATATCTTCTAGGATCTTGCCATCTTTCTCTTTGGCATAAAAATTCAAGCAAAGAACTGGAACAGGTATTTTCTTTGCAGTTTGAGGGATTATATTCGAAACCAAAAGGTTATAGAGGTCAGCTAATATATCCAAAGTTGCTAATCTCGCCACAAGCTACATTCATTGCTACTCTGGATTTGACAGGATGCTTGCATATTTTTAAGCTGGACAAAGAAGGCTTGACACTCTCCCGGTTTGTCTTGGGAGAGAAGGATGATTCATTAGTATCTGATAATTCATCGAATGGGGGTAATAGATCTTTTTTGGATTTTACTTGGTGGTGTGACCATGTCATTGCCACTGTAGATAGGAATGGTGTGGTTATGTTGATAGACCTTCTAAATGGTTTAAAGGTCCAGGAAGAGAATCCTGCATATTTTTTCCCTGCTCTGGGAAGAGCGCAGAAATGTAGGGGCTATCTTTTTCTTTTAGCAAGTTTATCATCCAAAGAAAAAATACCTACACATAACACAAATCCAAGCAAGGCCTCAGCCATTTTTTCAGTAATGAAAGAGATGAAAAAATACCTGCAGAACATTCCTCTGAAGGCTCTGAAAATGGTTGTAGAGAGGAGAATTCCTGTGATTAAATCGTACATTGAGAAGAACGTTTGCGGTCAAGTGAACGAATGGATGGTTCAGATAAGGAGCTCTGCTAGAAATATTGGGCAAACAGCAATTGGTCGTACTGCAACAGTTCGCCAAAAGGATGAGGAAATGCTAGAACAGCAGAGAAAGGCGGAGGAGCAATGCATTTCAGGAGTAGGGAATCTAGCTTACACTTTGGATAACGAAGAATTAGACGAAGATCCTGTTATCAAGTTTGATCTTACACCTCTTTATCGTGCTTGTCATATTCATGATATTCGTGAGTACTACTATACTAATAGATTGTTACAATTGAATTCAGACTTTGAAATGTCTTCTGCACAACCTTTTGTCGAATCATACCAGACATTTTTTGCTCAAATTGCTGGATTCTTTATAGTTGAGGATAGAGTCCTCAGAACTGCTGGGGTCTCCTGATAGCTGATCAAGTTGAAACAATGTGGAAGACGGCTGTGGCTAAAACGACATCCCTGTTAGAGGAGCAGTTCTCCTCTATGGAGTCTACCACACATCTTCTCCTGGTGAAGGATTATGTCACTCTGTTTGGATCTACTCTTAGACAACATGCACATGACATTGGCACACTTCTTGATGTGCTTGATAGCAGCCATGACAAGTACCACCAGCTTCTCTTGGAAGAATGCCGACAACAAACTGTTGAGGTTCTTGGCAATGGTTCATATGACCAAATGTTGATAAAAAAGGAAAGTGACTATGAGAATGTTGTTCTTTCATTTAATCAATTCCCTATAGACAGTCCCAAATCAATTTGTATTTCAACACTTCAGTCCAAGAAACCATTGATTTCAATCTCACAAATGGAAACTTGATCACTTCTTGGATTGACTATAACGGTTTCAACACAAACTTCACTGTTTTCTTAAGCTATGCAAATTCAACTTTTTCGAAACCTGAAAAACCTCTTTTGAATGTTGAGTTTGATCTTTCTGAGTATTTCAATGATATTGAGTTTCTCTATGTTGGGTTTTTGGGTTCTGCTTTAGGAAGTACCGAGCTTCAACAAATCATGAATTGGAGCTTTGAATCTTCTCAGTTTCTAGATAAAAATTCAAGCTTTCACCATGTGGGCTATGAAAATGAGGATATACCTGCTTCAAATTCAACAAAGAAAGGTCATAGAAAGAGATTTGTGATTGGTTTATGTGTTGCTATTGTGGGTCCATCTTTTGTCTTTCTTCTGTTATTTGTTTTAGGCTTTTTTTCTTATAGGAAATAGACTAGTTTTAGGAGGTTAACAAGAGTAAAAACTCTATGGGGTGTCCTACAGAGTTTGGTTACAAGGAATTGAAGTTTGCTACAAAAGGGTTTCATGGTTCAAGGATAATAGGGAATGGATCATTTGGGACTGTCTATAATAGGGAATGGTTCAAGGATAATAGCGGCAAATCGGTGTACCT